GCAGCCTTCTCCTCCCCAGGCTGCCCAGCCCCAGCTCTCCCAGCCTTTCCTCCCAGCAGAGGGGTTCCAGCCCTCACATCATTGCTGGGGCCTCCTCCGGCCCCGCTCCCACAGCTCCAGCTCTGCCCTGTGCTGAGGGCTCCAGAGCTGGACGCAGGACTCCCGGGGGGGTCTCAGCAGAGCGGGGCAGAGGGGCAGAATCCCCTCCCTCGCCCTGTGCCCACGCTCATGGGGATGCAGCCCAGGGCACAGGTGGCCTGCTGGGCTGCCAGCGCACTTTGGTGGCTCATGTCCAGCTTCTCACCCCCCAGCACCCCCAAGTCCTTCTCCTCAGGGCTGCTCTCCATCCCTCCATCCCCCAGCCTGTGCTGATACCGGGGGTTGCCCCCACCCATGTGCAGGACCCTGCAGTTGGCGTTGTTGAACCTCATGAGGTTCCCACAGGCCCACCTCTCCAGCCTGTCCAGGTCCCTCTGGATGCCATCCCGTCCTTCTGGTGTGTCAGCTGCCCCACTCAACTCAGTGTCCTCTGCAGACTTGCTGAGGGTGCGCTCGATCTCGCTGCCTAGGTCATCGATGAAACTGTCCAACAGCCCCGGTCCCAGTACGGACCCCTGAGGGACACCACTTGTCACCGATGTCCATCTGGACATCGAGCTGTTGACCATTACCCTCTGGCTGTGACCTTCCAACCAATTCCTCAGCCACCGAAGAGTCCACCCATCACATCCATCTCTCTCCAGTTCAGAGAGAAGGATGTTGTGAGGGACTGTGTCGAGGGCTTTACAGAGGTCCAGATGGATCACATCCGTAGCTCTTCCCTTGTCCACTGGTCTGGTCACGCCATCGTAGAAAGCCACCAGGTTGGTGAGGCAGGACTTGTCCTTGGTGAAACCATTCTGGCTGTCTCCAGTCACACCAGAGGGTGGCTTGGCGAGGCGCTCGGGGAGGCTGGCGATGACACGGGGCTGGGTGCCAAAGTTTTTGCACCCTTTTAAAGTGGAAAAAGCCTGGATTTATTGCAGGGATGCGTTCGTGTCTCTGCCCGTCGGTACCTCCCGAAGAGCACGGAAAGGTCGGCACCAGCGGAGCAGATCCCAGCAGCCTTGTTCCACGCTGCTGGAGGCTCCTCTGGAATTCCCAGCACGTTTGGCTTCTTGCTCCCCTGCCACCCTCACCCCATCCCAGGCTGGTTTCCCCCTGACAGCATCTTTGCCAGCTTCTCCATCCCCACCTCTCCTCTGGAGGGTTTTTGCAGAACGCAGCGAGGCTGAGAATTCTGAATGTCCCCAAAATGCTCTTTTATTGGGGGTCTTCTCCTGCATTTGAGTTTTTCTGGTGGGCGGCATGACTTTGGATTACAAGTGAGCTTTGGAGGAGCTATGGGAGAAGCGCTGTGGTCCCATCAAGGCAGGATAAAGCTCTTCGATAAGGACGGTTTCATGTTAAAATAAAGATAAATTTTAGCAGAAGGAGAAATTGGCACCTTTCCATGAGTGGTAGCTTAGAAATGTAGTTTCTATTTGTCCTCCTCGTGCCCCCCAGAAGTTTTGACACTGATTTTTTTCACCATCCCCTGTGCTCTAGCCACGGGGAGCAGGATTCTGCCTCGGCTGCCAGACCGCTCTGGGGCAGCGCGGCCGTTCATTGGCTTGGTGATGGAGAAGGGCTTGGTGATGGAGAAGGGCTTGGTGATGGAGAAGGGCTCAGTGATGGGGAAGGATTTGATGATGCTGAACGGCTTGGTGATGTCTAACGGCTTGGTGATGCAGAAGGGCTTGGTGATGGTGAAGGACTTGGTGATGGTGAAGGGTTTGGTGTTGCAGAAGGGCTTGGTGATGGGGAAGGGCTTGGTGATGGCTTGGTGATGGTGAAGGACTTGGTGATGGTGAAGGGTTTGGTGTTGCAGAAGGGCTTGGTGATGGGGAAGGGCTTGGTGATGGTGAAGGGCTTGGTGGTGGAGAAGGACTCGGTGATGCAGAAGGGCTTGGTGATGCAGAAGGGCTTGGTGATGGTGAAGGACTCAGTGATGGTGAAGAACTCGGTGATGCAGAAGGACTCGGTGATGGTGAAGGACTTGATGCAGAAGGACTTGGTGGTGGAGAAGGACTCAGTGATGGTGCAGAGCTCGGTGATGGTGAAGGGTTCGGTGATGCAGGACGACTTAGTGATGCAGAGGGGCTTGGTGATGGTGAAGGACTTGGTGATGCAGAAGGGTTCGGTGTTGCAGAAGGGCTTGGTGGTGGAGAAGGGCTTGGTGGTGCAGAAGAACTTGGTGATGGAGAAGGGCTTGGTGGTGGAGAAGGACTCAGTGATGGTGAAGGGCTTGGTGACGCAGAGGAGCTCGGTGATGGAGAAGGGCTTGATGATGCAGAAGGACTTGGTAATGCAAAAGGGCTTGGTGATGGCGAAGGGCTTAGTGATGGAGAAGGGTTCGGTGATGCAGAAGGACTTGGTGGTACAGAAGGGCTTGGTGACGCAGAAGGACTTGGTGACTGTGAGGGGCTTGGTGGTGGAGAAGGACTCAGTGATGGAGAAGGGCTTGGTGATGGAGAAGGGCTTGGTGACGCAGAAGGGCTTGGTGACGCAGGAGGACTTGGTGACTGTGAAGGGCTTGGTGGTGGAGAAGGACTCAGTGATGGAGAAGGGCTTGGTGATGGAGAAGGGCTTGGTGATGCAGGAGGACTTGGTGACTGTGAAGGGCTTGGTGGTGGAGAAGGACTCAGTGATGGAGAAGG